GAACCGATTCAACCTCGGGCTTTTTGACTGTCTGTACTTAGCTTGTCAGATAACATCGTGAAGGCTCATCTAGTCAAAGTGGGTCATAGCATCAGAGGAGTTAGAGAGATCTACTGTAAAGCAACATAGAAAAAAATGTTATTCTTGGGGAGAGAGAGAGAGAGAGAAAACAAGCATCAGGTTTGTTGTGTGTTAGCCCAGTGCTATGAATTGCTGAACACCACTTGCATGGTGCCCTCTATTAGCTACATCCTAAGATACATTGTGAGCAGTAGACAGAATCAGTCTCAAAAGCAAAGTGCACAAATATCTAGGAGAGAGATGGTTGTCTGCAATCAGAACTCCTGCCAACTCTTCTTTTTAGCTAGGTTTTTATTTTAAGATGACTCTTTGCTTTATATGATACAACTTAATGCCAGCACTCTTTATTGGAGGATGTTATTTTTCCTTAGATGTTCCCAAAGTGCTGTCTACCAGACTTTTGTGACCCAAGAAATGTTTGTATGTGGCCCACAGAAGGACTTTTTTAATGGTGCCTGTCCTTGGCAGAACCAGTTGTTTATTGAGGCAATAGCCACTGAATGTTCAGTAGGAACTAACTGACAAAACTTACTGGCTGCCCTATGATCTATTGTTAAGGATAATTGCTGTCCTCTATAATAGACTTAGTAAGCTGGTTGTGAATACAGTTTCTTTGATCATGCATACCATCCCTGATGACCAATGGCCATATTTCCTCAATTACATTACAATAACGAATTTTGAACTTGGGTTGCCTCAGCAAATAAAGTCTGCGTAAGTCCCACTCAAATATGAATTAAGCAAAGATACCAGATTCTCCTTATTGTAATTTTATGTATATAGGGCATTGCATATTGTTATTGCACTAAAGGTGCATTTTGTCTGCAGCATGATGTTCCACCCATTAAGTGGCCCTCCCTGAACAAAATTTTGGGATCCCATCTTCTAGCTCCTTGTTAAGCTGCTTTGGGCTTTATAAGTCAAGGTTATTCCTTTCTTTCACCAGCGCACGCTCATTAGGAGACAAAATATCACTCTGTTTTGAAATAAGACTCAGGGTATAGATACATATGTACTTGTAACTAGGGCTGTGCAAAATAGCAGCATTCTGTTTCAACCAGTGTTTCGACAGAACAGTGTTTCATTTTTATTTTTGTTTCAATTTGAAACAGCTGTTCCATTTTGTTCCGTCAAAAGAGGGTAGAAACGGTGAAACTGTTTTGATGGTTCGCCCATAGGATATAATGGGGAAGGTCAAAACAGGCTATAACCTTGTCATTTCTAGCTTGATTTGGATGAAACATGCAGAAATGGTAGCTCCTGAGGGCATGAAGCCTGCCAAGTTTCAAGGAGATAGGTGCAGGGATTTCAGGGAAACTGTACCCCAAAATCATGAAAGCAAAACTCATGTCATGTGTATGTGTTAAGTCACAGTGGGGTCAGAACTGCAGGCTTGCTAGCCTCTGCTCAGGCCACAAAGCCTGCCAAGTTTCAAGGAGATAGGTGCAGGGATTTCAGGGAAACTGTACCCCAAAATCATGAAAGCAAAACTCATGTCATGTGTATGTGTTAAGCCACAGCGGGGTCAAAACTGCAGGCTTGCTAGCCTCTGCTCAGGCCACAAAGCCTGCCAAGTTTCAAGAAGATAGGTGCAAGGGGCTTGGGGGAAACTGTACCTCAAACTGCGGACGAGCAAAACTTGTGACATGGGTGACATTGTATGTGTTAAGGCGCAGCAGGATGAAGACTGCAGGCATGCTAGCCCCTGCTGAGGCCACAAAGCCTGCCAGCTGCTAAGGAGATAGATGCAGGGGGGTTCTGGGGCCCTGCGCCCCTAGCTGCTGACAGGCAAAACTCATGAAATGGGTGCCTGTGCTAGCTAGCTACTGTGTTACGCAGTCAATCATGATTCACTAAAGGGACTAGCTCAATACACAGTAGCTAGCAAGGATAACAAGTTAATGAGCAAGAATTAACACCTACAAAACCACAAACTAAGGAGAGGAAGGAATCAATACAGAGCCGGGAACTGCTTCTGCCCCAAGACAGAGGCAGTCAGTTGCACAAGCACCCATGACATGAGTTTTGCCCGTCAGCAACTACAGGTGCAGGGCCCCAAAATCCAGAAGCCCCTGCACTTATCTCCTTGACAGCTGGCAGGCTTTGTGGCCTCAGCAGGGGCTAGCAGGCCTGCAGCTTTCACCCTGCTGCACCTTAGCCTACACAGTGTCACCCATGTCACAAGTTTTCCTTATTTGCAGCTTGAGGTACAGTTTCCCCCACACCCCTGAACCTATATCCTTGAAACTTAGCAGGATTTGTGGCCTCCACAGCGGCTGGCATGCCTGCAGTTTTGACCCCGCTGTGGCTTAACACATACACGTGATACAAGTTTTGCTTTCAAAACGTTGGGGTACAGTTTTCCTGGACTCCCTGTACCTATCTCCTTGAAACTTGGCAGGCTTCATGCCCTCAGAAGGGGCTACCATTCCTGCAAGGTTCATCCAAATTGTGCCAGAAAATGTCAAAGTTATTGGCTGGTTTGTCCTTCCCCATTATAGCCTATGAGCGAAATGTCAAAACTACGGCAAAATGTTTCACCTAGCCTCGTTTTGTTTTGAGGATGTTTCAATTATATCTGTTCCATTTTGATTTGCTGTTTTGACCTTGAAACGTGTCGAAACAGCGTGAAAAAAAACTGGCAGTGAAATTTTGCACAGCCCTACTTGTGACAGCTTCAAAAAGAGAGGGGGAGCTAGCACCCCAGACACTGCAGCAGCAACTAGGCTCCAGCTCGCTGGTTCTCAACCTTTTTAGATGCAAGGTATGCCTCCAAAATTTTGTAGCCCTATATTTTAAAAACGAATGTAAGTACATTTTTCGCATTATAATATAAACAGTATAATTGTTATTAATGTAATTAATTAGACATAATTGATTAGATATTATTAGATAATTAATTAGATATTTTATTCTCCCCACTGTGCTGCATGCCTCCTGCAGAACCAGATTGGGAAGCAACTGTGTCAGGAGCTTGTAAACTTACTGCAGCCCTTCCTGGTCCTACTGGCATGCTGTCCCCTGGATGAAGAGGCATCCAGGGCAGATGGAACTGTTCCAGGTACCTCTTTTCAGGAGGGATGTCAGAGCCAAACTGACAAGTAGCAGCCAGAGAAAACTCTGCCTGCCTACAGTACATTATGAAGGCTGGAGTGCCATTCTGCTTCAGGCTGCATGCTGTAAACAGGTGTACAGGGCAATTTCACCCCATACAAGTAGTGCTCATGCCAATATTGTGGCATATCTGGCAGGCTCTGGTGTCACCCTGGTTGACACCCATTGCTCTGTTAGTGTATGCATGATTGTTTAGTGATACCAGTGTAGCAAAACTGCTTCAGCTTTACCTCTGCTTTATTCAGGGTCAAAATTGGGCAGATCTAGCTCACTTGTTTCATGACAGGATCCTTCACATATAACAGTTACAGCATAACAGTTGCTACATATCCCTAGGCAGCAGCAGCCCCCTCCTGATGCCACCACAAAATATGCATTTGACCATACCCTAATATTCTGGCATAGTTGGTCCAATAAAAGATCTTGCCCTAAGAAATCTTTGCTTCTCACATAGAAAGTGAAGACATTCATTTCTGCTTAGTAATTTACACTCATGTTGGCTCTATCTGGACTGCATTTCAAATCAAGTACAGAAGTTCTAGAAAAATTAAACATGCCTTACCAGTATTTTGTCCTTATAACTGACCTCTTGTCTGCCCATACACACTCCCATGGTACTGAGGTGTGACAACTGTTCTTTGAATGATACCTGCTACCAGCAAAACTATCTGCATAGTTCCCCAGAGTGCTGAATCTATCAATTCAGTGTCAATGTGAACATCATTCTCCATGTGCCATCCCACAGTACAGTGGTAATATATGATATTACTTTCCTGCTTGTCCTTTCCGAACTTCTCTGCACAAAAGACAAGTTTGCCAGCAGCCACATGTAAATAGCATGTAATTTTAGTTGTACATGATTTTCATAATGCTCATCTTGTTATGTTAGACAATTACTTTGCCAGCTTCTTACAACTTCTCTCATTTGCATGTCTCTGAAGAAGTCTCTCTATGAATATATTACCAGTCCTATTGAAGGCACTCATTCTCATGCCTGATTTCTCTAGCATAGACATGACCTTAAATTTAAGAGCAGAGAGAAGTGAAAGCTTATGGATCTCTGAATTAGTTAGTTTATAAGGAGCATCTCTACCCAGTCTTCTGCCTTAAATTCAAGTCGATGATGTTGTTTTATCATCCCAGACTCCACAGTAAGTATGTTATATGTCTGTACCCCATTGCTTCAATCAGGCTGCCTCCATAACTATGAAGATGGCATGATGTTGGGTCACAACAGGAAGATGTTTTTGCCCATATAAGGCTTTGGAGCTTTGGTTTTCTAAACTGAAGCTTAAATTCAGCAGAAGGTATGTGCACGATAGGGATATGGGGGAAAAATGGGGTGCAGTAGGTACACCTAGAGATTGTTTGCTACCTATAAGTTTGTAAGTACTATAGTCTAATTGAACATGGGATATTATTTCAGTTTCAGTGAAGTAGGAGGCTCATTCTATACCTGAGTTTACAATTCCTTTTGGGACTATCCTATAGGGTTCTAAATGTTGTTGCTTCTACTGAAGTTTATGGTAGGTAAAATTGATAAGTGAATTCTTTAACATAAAAGAATAGACAGAAATTCAAAGTAAATGATACTCCTCTCTTATCTCCACATTGAAACAAAAGCTCTTCCGGAGGAATAATGAGGAGCAGAATGCAATGCCATCATTTTTAGCTGTCCCTCATTTCCCCATGGAAAAAATTAAAATAGCTTTTTGTAGAGTAGATGATCAACCAGCTAACCTTTGCCTCCTTCTGTAACATGTCTACTAATGTCTGATTTTTGTTTGTTTTTTTTTATTTTTCAGGCTGGAAAGATTACCCTATTGTACCGTAAACAACCCCTGAGTATTTTAAAGAGATTTCTCATTTGGGCTGTTTTGCTGGTGAGTTTCTTGAAGCCTGATGCTATAAAGATAATAGAATTAGCAGATCTAGCAGGCCTCATTATTTTTAATTACTACTGCTGGTGCTCACACAGTACATGTAATTTGGTGAAGGAAAAAATCTCTACATGCTCAAAATGATCCAAAGCATACAAGTGACTGCTTTCAAGGCCTGTCATAAATTATGTGTTATCAGGGGTGATTTTTGTATAATATTCTATTTAACTAAATCTTCTCATATCTGATGAGGCTGGGATAGAACTGGGATAGGAAGCATGGACTTTAAATTAGGTAAAAATTCTAATACCTTCCTTTTTACAGTTCATATTTGGGTCCATTTTTCAAGCAAGATCAAATCATAATTATTAGCCTATTAGCATGTTTCCAGTGAACTGGCTTCAGTTTAATCAATATTTCTAATTACTCTACATCAAATGCAATTTTAAAGCAAAGTAACTCCAGTTCACTTTTGCTTAAATGTATTTATGCATTTACAATGATACATTACATTGTTCACAGATAACATTAATTTCTGTAGAAATAATTAAGGCAACTTCCTTTTAAATGTACAATGCAGGCATTACAGGTCAGTGAGGATACTGGATTTGAGACTGGTTGTTAGCCATCTAAGCATTATTTATTCCAACCATTTTTCCCCTGGGATATGTGCCTGTAATAAACCAGGAAATTATCATTTATGCATCTTCTCTGACAATCAGGCACAGGAAGGCTGACTAGAGGATGATGAGGCATGCTGAGTCTGATACTTCACAATTCCATCCTGCAAGCTGAATTCTTCCTGGAGGAAGATATGCCACATAATTCCCAACCTTTTGTTACACTTTCCCCACCTGCTACATCAGATCAGGGACCTCAGATCTTTTAAGACAGTGGTTCTCAGCCCTTTTAATCCTATAGGCTATCTCATACCTTAATCCTTCTCACCCTCTCTTGTCATTCAGAGCCCACCTCTCACCCAATTCTCTACACAGTCTCCTCTCTCCCCTACCCTATCCCCACCTGCAGTCTCCTGTCAATCTCCCACTAGGCCCATTCACAGCCCCACACTCTTCCTCTCTCATGGTCTGCATATCGAACATGCTTCCCAAATGCTGAAAGTAGCATAGGGATGTGTCTAGAATTTTGAAAAAGATTGGGAGGTGGGTGCAGGTGATATAGTGGATTATCACATGTAGCAAAATACATTTTTCTTCAGTTAAAAATGAGCTAAAAGCTTTACTAATATGTAAGGGCCATGGGCTGTATTATTTAGTTTAAGATTGAAGCACAAAATGGGTATCTTCATTGGAATGTACGTTCATTTGGTATATTATATATTAAGTATAAAAACCACAGCAACCTAGAAAAAATGGAATGAAAATATGCTGTTTAATTAGTCATTATAGTTAAATGTGTATCTCTTATTCAGATTCATGAAGCAAAATCTAACCTCTTTGTGTGTCCTGACAGTGCATCCAACACTTTACTGACAGTTGTTTCCACACCTGAGTTAATGTTTTTAGCTAGAGCTAAAAACAGTCTGAAGAGCTGTGAAAGGGGAGAAGCTAATAGACAGCAAAATAGTGGAAGAAAAGATGGCCTGATAAATGGAACATCAAAACCATTACAAAGGAAAGAGGGTTGTGAACACCAGTGGAGTGAAGAGTGATTAGCAGGAATTAAATCAATTATAATGAGCCATGAAGTCAAATGTCTTCCTCAGTGCCACCTGAATAGAAATACCACTTCTGGGCAGTTGATGTTAAATTTTGGGTAGAACAGGAATCAAAAGGAGGTGTGACTGTACTCCTGGATGCACCCTGACTCTGCATGCGGGATCTTTGGAACAGGAGCAATAGCAGTTCTCTTGGCACTGCACATGAGCTCATTTAGCTTTGCCTTAATTAGGAGCCCATCTGCACAGTTACTTTAAGGCAGCTCTACTACTTTCTGTGCCGGAACTTACACATGCAGCAGCATGGTACTGGGAACATTCAAGATAAGCCTCTGTAAGCCCAGCTACAGCACCCAGAAAACTACGCTTGCTTTTTACTGGGTTTCATTTGGAGCCACTAGGGCATTCAGTAGCTATGCAGATGCAATGTCCAGAGCTTCCTTCATGCTGTCAGTCTTGTACTTTACTCATATTAATACAGATAGAATAACTGTGGTGCCTACTGTTGCCGTACAGCAGGCTTCAACACCTAGTTAATCATGCAAGAGAAATTTCTAACTAGGGAAATAAAGTATTTATATAAGGAAAGAGCTTGGGCTGGAAAGTTTGGATCCAGTTTTACACTTTCCCATAATTCAGAAGTGTTCAGTTCTGACTGAGTAAAGCAAGAGGTTTAAGCTCCATGGATAATACTCATATCCATATACATGACACTCCACTGGGAGTCCTTTTTCCTGAGGTCAGGGGAGAGAGCATATTATTGAAAAAACATAATTATGTTGCATATGTATTGAGGTCAGTTTGAAGTATGAGCTAGCAAGAGAACAAAATGTTCTGTGTGTTTTGAAGCAACCCTCTTTCCATTTTGTTTTAATGAAAGCCCATATACTTTTATTTAAAAATAATTCTAATTCCTAACCCCTTTAATCATATATCACATCCAGTTATCAAAATATTTTACTTGATTTTTGCAGTTTAAAGCATTTGGCTCAATTGATGAAAGTTTTACCATCACATTCTTTTCCTAACACTCATCCAAAAAGCTATACGCCTTTCTTTACAACTTGCCTTGTGTGTGTGTAGGTTGTTGCCACATTCAGGGAAATGTCTGTGCATTTCACTTGGGAAGAATGTTAGCTGTGCCAAATATCCAACATTATCTGTGGAAAACACTGTGGTTGATGCTTGCCACAACTAGTGACCTCCTCCCTCTGAAGTCACTTCTAGAGTTTCAGAGGTGAGTGTTAGACAGTTTGTATCCATTTCAGCCAATGAGAAAATGTGCCTTGATTTCAACAGGCCCCAGTGTCTGAATGTTATTTTATGAGACTTAGTTGAATGTCACAGTCATTCACAGGGCTTTATGCTACAGCCCTTTGACTTGGCACGTCCAGATAGGTTCACCATCTTAGAAGCTGACTGTCCCTCTGAAATATTCCAAATGCACGGAGAACATTTCCAGTCCTGCTCCTCTTTTGGCCCACACACCCCTAAGGAAACATAAGAGAATTAGTTCCTGTGCTGCAGGGCATACGGACGGCTCCTATGGATAGGCCTTGGTGAATCACCCAAATGGGAGGCCCTTCCACATCCACATATGCCTGTAAGGTCCTTGATGAGAGGCAAAATGCAGATGATTTTCAGCTCCCCTCCAAGTGTTTATTTCCATTAACAAAGTGTTATATTTGGCTGCTCTCCTTCCTTGTCTCAACCATTAGCAATTTAGAGGATGTTTTCTTTGTTTCCCTCCTTGAGCTCTCTTAATTTTTACAGGTATTTCTTGATTACCTTTATGCATGATCTTTCCACCTGACATAACATTTTATCTGATGTTTAACTTAACTCAGATAATGCCTTTTGTATATACCATAAGGTCAACTGTACTTTTCTGTAGCATCAATGGTCATGAAATAACTGAAGAACATATCAGGGCATGTACCTATACTGAACAACTGCCTAATAGGATTGTAAGGAAAAGCAAATTCTGTGTGTGTATGCCTGTATATATATACAAATGTATACACGTGTGTGTATGTATGTATATATTTACGCATGCAGGTACACATCCTGAAAAAAACTTCGTAATAATGTAACAGGCATGCCATTTTCCAAATATTAGATGGGGAAAAACGAATCTCCATTAGAAGGATGTTAAGTTGGCAAATCAAGTACTTAATTGTGGCATTTACATTTTAAGTTGAAGATTCTAACTTTAATATCACCTACGTAGGCTTATGAGTTATGATCTTTGAATTTTTCAAGAATATAATTTTGCGTTCCATTTTATGCATAGAATACAAATTATAGCATTTCTTCGCATGATGCAATGAAAATGGTTTACAGTTCAGAAAATAATAATTACTTAGGCATGGATTAATTGTAATGCTCAATATTCCATTATGAAAATGAAATATTGACTAAAGAAAAGTGCTGAATCAAACACATTTCTTTGGTATAAGTGGATCATGATTTCTATCTCAAAACTAAATAAAGTTTCCTATTTTGCCTGTTTCCATAACGCTGCAATGTACATTTTATCTAGTCTCTCATACAGCTCTGCTAGACTGATGATAAATCGGATAGGAATGACAAGGATATATAAAAAATTGAGTGTCAAAGGCTAAATTTTGGTGCATGTTTCTGGGATAAATATATCACATAGAAAAGCAACCCGGAAGTGGAAATTATCAATAGTCCATTAGTTTGAATGGACTATTGGAAATGGCAGTGTCAAATGGACATTTTGTTCCATCTGCAATTTTGTTTAAGAATAAAGTACTTCAGCCCCCAAAAGTAAATGAATTAACATGTTGTCAGCACAAACTACACAGAACATGCATATAAGTATTCCAGACTGAACAGGCATATTTTTGGTAGGCTCTATAATGTGCACAAGAGGTGACATTTTTAGTACGGTTGTGCAAAGCTTCAGGCTTTGGTTTGATTTGGTGGAGGTTTGGCCTGATTTGGTGGCCAAGTTTCCAAATCCAAATCAAATCAGAGAACCCTTTAATCTCTCCAAATTGAATCGGAACCCTCCAAATGGATTTGGAAAGATTTGGAGATGCAGACATAGACACAGCTTTAAATGTTTTTTCTACATACCTCTAGGTAGCAGGTGGCTTGTGAATGCTGCAATGCTGGGACACATGAAGTGTCCCACAGACGTGTGGGGGGCTCCCCAACGCACTTGACGGCAGACCCATAAGTGGACCAGAAGCACTTCCAGTCCGCTTCCAGGTGCACTGGAGAGCACGCCAGGCAGGGGGAGGTGCTGCATTCCCCTGGCTCAATGACTGGCTCAGTGACTCTTGTTTTCCTTGGA